GTTTTGGGGATTTGTAAAATTGGGAATTTGGGGATTTGAGGATTTGGAACTTAGGAAAATTGGGAATTTGAGGATTTAGGAATTTAAAAATTTGGGAATTAGTAAATTTGGGGATTTAAGAATTTAGGGATTTGAGAACTTGGGGATTTGAGAATTTGGGAATTAGTAAATTTAGGGATTTAAGAATTTAGGGATTTGAGAACTTGGGAATTTGTGGATTTGGGAATTAGTAAATTTAGGGATTTAAGAATTTAGGGATTTGAGAACTTGGGGATTTGTGGATTTGGGGATTTGGGAAATTGCGGATTTAGGGATTTGGGAATTCAGGGACTTGGGGATTTGGGGATTTGGGGATTTAGGGATTTAGGGATTTGGGGATTTGAGAATTTGGAACTTTCGAAAGTTGGAAATTTGGAGGTTTAGGTATTTGAAAATTTGGAACTTAGGAAAATTGGGAATTTGAGGATTTAGGAATTTAAAAATTTGGGAATTAGTAAATTTGGGGATTTAAGAATTTAGGGATTTGAGAACTTGGGAATTTGTGGATTTGGGGATTTGGGAAATTGCGGATTTAGGGATTTGGGAATTCAGGGACTTGGGGATTTAGGGATTTGGGGATTTAGGAATTTGGGGATTTAGGGATTTAGGGATTTGGGGATTTGAGAATTTGGAACTTTCGAAAGTTGGAAATTTGGAGGTTTAGGGATTTGAGGATTTGGAACTTAGAAAAATTGGGAATTTGGGGATTTGAGGATTTGGAACTTAAGAAAATTGGGAATTTGAGGATTTAGGAATTTAAAAATTTTGGAATTAGTAAATTTGGGGATTTAAGAATTTAGGGATTTGAGAACTTGGGGATTGGAGAATTTGGGGATTTGAGAATTTTGTATCGTTGCAACTGTAATTAATAACATGTAAAATTTTTATTTGGAGAGAAAGATGTCTCACATTATTGCTTGCATTTTTAAACTACAACGGGGATGCTTTTTATAAATATTACAATTATATAAAAAATATTAATCGCAGGAAACAATTATGTATTTGAAAAACAATTTCCTCAATACTTTTTGCAAAAACGAATTTTACATACTTAATAATAAATTATTTCAGTCGTATAATTTATACTGAAGGAATAAACTTAAGTAATTTCTTCTTATTAAACCAAATACTTTATTTTGTATCTTTTCACAGAAATGTTTCTCTAAATTTTTACGTTTATGATCTAAAGTTTTCAGTTTTGATATTTCAAATTTTAAAGCATCGAGAAAATTGCATTGAGAAATTTTTCTTTGAATTTTATACTTTTTTATTTAAAAACTGTGCTAATACTACGAAAATTCTAAAACTAATTAAAATATCAATTTAAAACAATTTATATTATGATATTTCTTTTAGTTTAAAACGTATTCAATTAAGAACTTCAATTAGAATATGAAGCACTAATCATTATGTAAATCTAATTCAAAATAAAACTACATTAAATTCCTGCTTCAAATTTCAAAATTAATAATAAATTAATGAAACTAATAATATTACAACAATGAAAGTTTAAAGTTTATTTTATTGCTTCGTAAAATATATTTAACAGGCAGAAATGAAATAACTTGTTACTTTACGCCACAATGAGCTAACTCACAAAATTAACAACTGCGGAACAAAGGAAGTTCGGAAAAAGCAGATGAAAAGGTTGAAACGGCTTTCACCTTTACATTCCAATTAAGATTTAATTAAACAAACTTTCTCTTAATTATACTTATGGTTGTAACTACATAGTTAACTTCCAATCAAACATTTCTCCCTCTGGAATCGATGGCGTTCTGAGAATTGTCAATGATTGCTAGTTACTGTAAGCAGAAGTTATTAGTAAAATTAAATTACCTGGTTTCCAATTTAAAAATATTTAATGAAAATAAATAAATAAGAAATACTTATTTTATGGCATTATTTTATAATGAATAACAGTTGTAAGTTACATAATAAATATCATATTTTAATTATGTTTGTATGTGCAATTTAGTAATGTTTAGTATAAAATCACAAAATTGATCAATTTTAATAACTGAAAACATTTATGAATATTCTAAAAATAATCTTAAAAATAAACTATCGTAAACAATCCTAAAATTAAAATAACTAAAATAATTTTAATAAATTAATTTAAAGAAAATATTTACTAAATCACCAAAAATGTCCTCGCAGAATTTGAATTCTGATTTAGATTAATTTCAAGGTTGTTACACCATGAGTTCAAGCAAAGAATCTTAAAATTCAATAAACATAAACAGAAATTACGAGAATTTTTACTGTAAACATAATTTGTACTAAATGAAACTTTAAACATGAATTTATTCAAATTTGCATCAACATCAATTTTCCCATCAAAACAGCCATTTAATCAGAGTTCGAAATTAAAAGAACGTTTCACCTAGAAAATACAATAGATCTTCTCAGCAAAAATATCTTGTTGAATACTTTGTAGATAATTAACACATCCGACAGAGTTAAATTTCTCTCATTCATAATAAATATACGGAATACCGTAATCGTATCAATTTTTCTATCAAAAAACATTTTCCAATTAAAACAGTGCCATTTAATCAGAGTTTAAAATTAAAATTAAAAAAAAGTTTCGCCTAGAAAATAGATCTGCTTCTCAGCAAAAATCTTGTTCAATTCTTTATAGACAATTAACACATCCGACAGAGTTAAATTTCTCCCATTCATAATAAATACATGGAATACCGTAATCGTATCAGTTTTTCTATCAAAACGGTGCCATTTAATTACAGTTTAAAATTGAAATTAAAAAAAAGTTTCGCCTAGAAAATAGATCTGCTTCTCAGCAAAAATCTTGTTCAATTCTTTGTAGATAATTAACACATCCGACAGAGTTAAATTTCTCCCATTCTTAATAAATACACGGAATACCATAATCGTATCAGTTTTTACCCGCAGGTTTTTGCCGAAGTTAATCTACATGGGGCACCCTCAGGGGACTGAGATAATTATCAAGATGAAAAACGCAGCTACGAGAAAGTTGTCGTGCACCCAGCCACGTGCCTTGCATGAGATAATGAAAGGTGTCGTTCTTCTGGTTTTCCCCCTTCCAAAATTTTGTATCCTCCGAAAGGAACAGAGTACCCGTCGAACACCAAAATTGGAGGAGAACGATGTATAATATAAATACGTACGTAACAGTCGGCAATAAGCATGACCGCATGTAACGTTCTTATTAACCTGATAGACACGCAACGAGAAATTATACGAATTATTACTTCTTCTCCGTTTTTTCGTATGGTTTTGTTAAGCTTCGTATGTAATTACGTACAGAATATACATTTAACTGATGTGGTCTTCTTTTATTAAAACGTTACGAATGTACATTGAGGTTAAGTAGCAGTATTTACCGCGTATGTCGAAATGTTCGGAACTAGAGGACAGTAACTATAAATTTCATTTATTTGGGGGCGTTTAATTAAATTGCTGGAACGAACTGTAATTAAACACTTCCTTCTTTTTTTCTGTGGTTTTAATGAACTTTATATGTAATTACGTACAGCGTATACTATCAGTTGGTACATAATTTATTTATTGAAACATTTGGAATGCAAATTGAGGATGTAATGATGTTTGCGAATTTAGGAATTTTGGGATTCGATTATTTGAGAAATTAGGGAATTGAAGGATTTCAAAGTGTAGAAGTTTGAGGTTGTGGGAAATTTGGATGTAAGGGGTTGGAATTTGGGTGATTTGGGGATTTAGAAATTTATGGATTTGGGAATTTGGGGATTTGGGGTTTTGGGGATTTGGGGATTTGGGGATTTGGGAATTTGGGAATTTGGAACTTACGAAAGTTGAAAATTATGGGATTTAGGGATTTGGGGATTTGGGGATTTAAGGAATTGGAACTTAGGAAAGTTGGAAATTTTGGGATTTAAGGATTTGGGGATTTGAGGAATTGGAACTTAGGAAAGTTGGGAATTTGGGGATTTAGGAATTTGAGAATTTGGAGCATTGGAGATTTGGAGATTTGGAGATTTGGAGATTTGAAGATTTGAAGATTTGGAGATTTGGAGATTTGGAGATTTGGAGATTTGGAGATTTGGAGATTTGGAGATTTGGAGATTTGGAGATTTGGAGATTTGGAGATTTGGAGATTTGGAGATTTGGAGATTTGGAGATTTGGAGATTTGGAGATTTGGAGATTTGGAGATTTGGAGATTTGGAGATTTGGAGATTTGGAGATTTGGAGATTTGGAGATTTGGAGATTTGGAGATTTGGAGATTTGGAGATTTGGAGATTTGGAGATTTGGAGATTTGGAGATTTGGAGATTTGGAGATTTGGAGATTTGGAGATTTGGAGATTTGGAGATTTGAAGATTTGGACATTTGGACATTTGGACATTTGGACATTTGGACATTTGGACATTTGGACATTTGGACATTTGGACATTTAGACATTTGGAAATCTGGACATTTGGAGATCTGGATATTTGGACATTTGAAGATTTAGACATTTGGAGATTTGGAGATTTTGAAATTTGCAGATTTGAACATTTGGAGATTTGGGCATTTTTAAATTTGCAAAATTTGAGAGTTTAGCAATTTGTAAAGAATTTAAGAATTTAGAAATTTGGAGATTTAGAAATTTCAGAACTTAAAAATTTGGAAATTTGATGATTTAAGGATTTGAGGATTTAAGAATTTCAGGATTTCAGGATTTCAGGATTTGAGAATTTGTATATTTTTGGATTTGACGATTTAGGAGTTTGAGAATTTGTTAATTTAAAAATTTATGAATTTCTCAATTTAGAGATTATAGAATCCATAGATTCAATTAGACAATTTAGGAATTTG